TACTGCAAATGTTGCGTGAGTTTTGTGAGCTCCTATGGTCAGATGGGTGGAGACCGCTCGACGGTGTCGTGCGATTTTGGCTTACGAAGCTGTTCTGGAAGTTCCATATGTTTTTGTAATTGGGCACCATCTTCCTTCATTATATTCACTTTTAATTTACGTATTGCAATCTTCTTAGAACATGGTCGTTACCATTGTATAGATGATGAACATAAGGTTCTCAGAAAGACGCTTTTGCGTCACCTTTCGATTTTTTTTTAAATTTTAGATTAATTCCGTGTAGATGTAAACCAGGTTATCCCTAATTCCAAAGCAAATTACTGGATTTTCTTATGTGTATTCGTTCCGAGCAAAGCTCTCTGTTATCTCAGTGTCCGTTCACGATCCCACAACATTTTTCTGAGGCCGTCACAGGACCGAAAATCTCTAAAGTGGAAGCATCGGACATCGGCGGTGATGCGATGAGAAAGATGCGCATTAGTCAGCCGAATAGGCGAATCGCCTGGAACGCACACATTGCGGATTTATGCAATCCTTTTCGTCCTGCCCACTCGTTTATTCAATACTGAAGGCAACACTGAAAAGTACCTTATCAAGTGTCCGCTATATGCCTTTGTTTTTCCCATAAAATGTGCAGTTCTATGTGCTGAAAATTTAGGGCACATCTAACGATAAGCAGTTGTTGCGTGGCTCAAACGTGCTCATACTCAATTGATCGATTGATCGTCGCTTGATGGAAATTCTTCAAGCAATACGATCGAAAGATGAATGATGATTTTGTCATTTCAGTGTGGGACTTTGTCTGCCTTCCATTTAGGAGCAACCTTTTTGCAGAGCCGGATTTTTGGAAGCGGTTCTGGGAAGGGCGGTAATTGTCATAAAAACTGCTGTATGAGGGAGCTGTAGTGCTGCGGGATCCTGGAGATCCTTCTCTTCCTTTAGAAAATACTTCAGCGCTGCACGCGTGAATCGGCGATTCGCCACCAATTCTGGGGCTACAAATGACTACCCAGCGATTTCAGCAATTATTCGCTGAAGTTGTTCAAAACTACGATTAGCGAAGCGTGGTACCTGCCTACCCCTTGGCTGAGTGGGGACCTTCTCAAAATCAAAAAAGGGGAAATTCGCGGAAGAGACCGTATTATCCTCCTTGCTTGACGCTTGGTGCGTTGTTGTTACATTTCTCGCTTTGACATGGTTTTTTTAAAGGTTCAGCGGTTAGATAGCGGTCATAGTGCGGTCTAGCGATGTTGCGCTTTTTTCGTGGAGTAAATGCATATTCTTGTTTGTGTTTGTTTATGTGCCATACGAGGTTGATCGGTGGAACGTTTATTGAATCGGCCTAACGTTTCGACAAATCGTCGTCTTCAGAGGCCTAAATGTGGTTCAAGGTTGAGGTTTACATTCGGATGGAGCGCTTGGTGGAGTACCACCAAGCGCCCCATCCGCTCTAGCGGTTCCGACATTCCGTCAGGAGCCCCACAGAGAAACGTTAAGAATGTTTCTCTGTGGGGCTTCTGACGGAATGTCGGAACCGCTAGAGCGGATGGGGCGCTTGGTGGATAGAATGTAAACCTCAACCTTGAACCGCGTTTAGGCCTCAGAAGACGACGATTTTGTCGAAACGTTAGGCCGATTGAATAAATGTTCCACCTATCAACCTCGTATGGCACAAAAACAAACACAAATAAGAACAACTGATGCCGAGGTTACAAGAAGAGAGGAGTTGGAAAATAAATGCATATTATCTGGCGATCGCAATACGTTTTGATACGCATGTGCTGAAACGAGTGTGTAGGCGTTGGCTGGAAGGATCCCGATACATCTATCGACGAGCGGTCATCGGGGGCCTCAATCCAATCAATGCACACAATTTAAATAAATTTTCAGCGGAAACGCCGAATCGCACAAGGCGTGAGCTATGAATGGGCGCCATGGGCCCTGCGTAAACGCACGGGTGCTAACGTAGTCGGAGGTTGAGAAGGCCACCAACTACACTAGCACTAGAACACACGACGCGGTACTGCCATCGGTTGATATGTTCTGATGTTAGGCGCTCTCCCTATTTTGCGACGGCGTTTAATGTGAGCAATGCGCGGAAAGTGAAAAGCGACTATTTAATATACTGGCGCATGATCTTTAGCGTGCAGTGAGGGCGTTTTTTCGAGAGGCAGAGATTTTTTATTGAGGTTGTTTTAAAATGTGAAAGGAATTCCAAGGTAGGTGTCTGCACCTCGCGATCACAGGCGCGAATGGGTCTGGGCGCGATTCTACGGTGGTAAAATCGCGCCCCACCCCACTTACGACTGCTATCGCGGATTAGGACATCTACTTGAGGCTGCTGTCAGACCTTGCGAATCCGCGGATTCACTATCGATTGCTGCATTTCGAGGACTACAAGCGATGCGCCAAGAGTTAAAACGATGCACCAGCGAATTTAGTTGTTACTCACTGGCGCATCGCTCGTACCCCTTGAACGGCGAAGAATTGCTAACGAAAAGGCCAAGAATTGCGAATCCGTGGATCAGCTAGCGAATGGTCACTGATGATAGTCTAACTTGGCTCAGGGCGGAAGTGGTGTAGTGACAAGTGGCACGCTTACCACGCGAGCGGTCCGGGATCAAATCCTGGGTCGTGAGTCGCCCGGGCCAACCCAAGCCTTCCATCCCTCCGGGGTCGGTTAATTGGTACCAGACTTGTCTGGGAGGATAAAAACACTGACTTGTACATCGGCTGGCCCCCGCAAGTCATTGTATAGGCCACATCGCATTCAAACGCCACTACGAATGTACAAATGGAAGTAGAATGCGTGCCGCATCCCAAAAAGGGATTGATCAACGGCAAAGCTTTATGCGTGCCGCATTCCCAAAAAGGATTGATCAAAGGCAAATGCTTTATCCTTTGACACCGGCTCAAGTAGGAGTGCGCTCTTGGAGAAGATTATACGAACTTTGGGTCACTACGCCATCAGTGGATGCTAGGTAGGGCGTGGGTCTATTTTAGTAGAACATTTTTGAGAATTTGCTGCTAATATGCTTGCTTTCTTTGACTTATATTCTTGAAATGTATTCTAGTTATGTAATGACGCTAGGTTTTTTAATCAAGAAGAGAACTCTGTCGCATGCTTTCGTTTCTCCATGATCCGTACAATTGATCGCCTTCCAGCGATCGCTGCTTGTTTTTCCAGTGTCCAACTAAAGAGTGCTAGCCTGCGTGTGTTTTCATCATCGCTCAACGCTATGGTGGATAGACTCGGTAAGTATGTTTTTGTCACCGCACCGAACACACAGTTCTGCTAACCCCATTTTTTTATTTGGGTTCGAGTTCCTTTTCTAGTCAAAAGTGTTTCCTTATTCATTCAAAAGCAGATATTACATACGATGTGATGATTTTTTAGTAAACAGTGAAGTGAACGCACGACGAGTTGCTAATGTGGAGCAATGTTTTGGAAAAATGGCCAAACCATTAAGTTTTAATTTGGGCGAGTGCTTGTTGGTGAGGGAGTGCTGGTGAAAAATGTGTAGGTAAGAGAATCATTTTGAATGTTGACTGTATTCGCAGAAGTTGCATTTTTTTTATCAGTTGAACCTGAGCTCTGTAGTAAAGGCGGAGTTTTGGATGGAAAAGCCAGCCCATAATAAGTCAAGGAGAGGAGGCAAGCGAATGCAGGGATCCATTTTATACTGCAATTGGTGGGAAACGTCCTGAAGTCGGCTCGCGGCAGATCGGCAGATTCATTTGAAAAAACGTAGTTTGGGGCCATATCCTATCCTTCCCCCATGCTATGGGAATAAGTGTGTCCTTCAAAGTTGTTTCCAACGACGCAGTTCCCTTATTTTCCGCACACGCTTACTTTACACACAAATGTACATTAGAATTATGTACTTTTCTAAGACGGTTCTTGTAGCAAACACAAAGAAAACGGATTCAAAGGGGCTATGTGTTCATCTTGCCTGCGAAAGGAGATGGTACGCCTTATGGTCTGTAGGCTAGCCGAAGGGGTATTTCGATGCTTACCAGGAAATGCTTTGAACTTCCCATGGAACTTTGG